AATACTCCTATGATCTCTTAATCAATGCATGATCTCTTAATTGATGATTGCAAATTAATTTATTGTTTATTAAAAGACTGCATACCTTTCTCCAACCCCGTGTGGACTGCAGTACTTGTAATGTACATTATAACACTTTGATGTTTCAAGAATACTTTTTAAGGGCTTTGTCTTTGATCCTGTCGGCTCTATTTATACGGATAAGTTGTGAGCGTGAGAAAAAAGTTCAAAGTTCTTTGAAGTTTTCTAAAAGGTATTCAGCACCAGATGTTGCACGGGCTTCAGCCGGATATATATAAAAGGGATATTTTTCATTCAAACGTTATTACTTAAAATAGAGCCCAATGAGAAGGAAAAGAAAATGTAACTTGTACCATTATACATGTACATTTTAAAATTTATTTCGGCAGCGCTTGTAGTTTAAGAAACAGAACTTAAAACATTTTGATGTTGAGTCATTTCCAGTTTCAGTAGCAAACTAGCTGATATCTGACATCTTAATGGCAAAATATACAATATTTCAGTAGCCCAGGTCAATATGTATTTTGTTTTTGAAAACGATTTATCATATCATATTTAACAAATGCAAATAGGGGATACATTTTCATTTCTTAATATGTTTTGAATTACCAATGATTTATATCGTTTGATAATTATTTCACAATTAAAAAGTTAAGCTAGTACAGTATCAAAAAATTTAGACACTTATTTAGCTTATTTAATAACATATAATGCTTCTAAAATTCTTTAGGTCAATTAAAAGGTAAGCTCCGCCCGATTAGAAAAAAATCTAGAAATACCAATAAAAAAAGTCGGAGATCTAATTATAATTGATTTTGACAGTGTGGGTATTGCACTTTTTCATTTTGTAAGAATAATACTACTATTGTATATTTCTCAATAGTTTTACATGTACAGGGTATTTGGGTTGTGATATACATTGTAAGATATATATAATGCCAAGGCTGAATAGAACCCACATACACCAACCAGAATTTTTAAAAAGAAATCAAAATTGTATTGATAAAAGATACCTTCTACAGTTATTGATTAATTTTTACGGACCTTGTGCTAACTGGTCATTTATTTTTATCTGTTTATTTCTTTCCCTGTTAAATTTTGATGTATTGTACGTGTGCAGCGGGCTTGAACGGTTTAATAGGCTCACCAACTTTCACCCTTACCTGAGACAGTAGTAAAACATTACAACATGAAAAGACACACTATAAAATATTAACTCGATCAAAAAGACACGATTTAAATAAAAACAACACTAAACAAATAAGTATGATCCGCGACACAATATAATATATACAAAACGAGAAACGAAAAACACATGTGAACTACAACAACCACTTGAACAACATGCTCCTGACTTAGGACAGGTGCATATAAAATGTACTATATTTAGTATCTTGTAAGGTCTGCTTTCCTTGACAACAGTTTTCGCTTGACCTCGACCTAATTTCTTGTTAAATTAGTAAGGCAAACTTACCATAAATGCAATTTTTTTTAACACCACCTAAGGTGATATCTGGTTAATATTTCTTATTATTTTGTCAAAATATCAGTACTGCCAACTTTTTACGAAGCAATTGCGTAAGATATGGCCAAAATTGTAAAGATCAAAGAGAAATGATCAAAGGAAAATATGTCATGTGTGCGAGACTTGGCAGCCCTGAAATATTCATTTACATATATTCATCTCCAGTCAAAACGTGCTATGTTTTAAGTCACATATCTAAACAAAGATAAAGACGAAAAGAATAATATATTCAGGCGTGTAAGGTAGTGTGCGGTGGTGTTTGGTGAAGAAGAGACCATCCGCCCCTTAAGGGCTTTGCATATCTTAACAATATGTTGTAGTTTAAGAAAACACACAATATATAAAATCGTGCACAGTTAATAAAATATGTATGATCATGTTTTGTATCAGTCTTATTAACATTGTACAACCACAGGGGTTTGTTACAATTTGCCGGGTTTACTAACTATACGAACCCCGAAAAAATCACAAGGGAGGAAGCTCATTTGCAACGTTGCTTTGAATTATTGTTTCAAAAATGTGATTTTTTCGGGGTTCATATGGATAGTAAACCCGGCAAATTGTAACAAACCCCTGTGGTACAACTAAATAAACTGCTTCGCTAAGCGATGCTGGATACGCCTGCAGAGGTCCAACAGTTGGGGCAAAAATGGACACAATATTCAAGCTTGATACAGGTCTGAATTTGGATTGTAATTAAATATTTGACATATTATAGGTTTCTGAATAAATGTAGTCAAAGAACTTGAAATTGGTTACATGAATTGAATTTATATTCAATTAAAGATTTCTTGCTGTTGTGCAATACACTGTGCTGTTGCGCAATACTTAGTAAATCTGTTGTCAGACTACATGGACTATAAACAAATAAAATCTTATAACTCGGAAATGTTAAAAATCGAAAATTTATAACAAACAAAAGGGAGCTTACAAAGATAGATCTATATAAACAATTTACCAAAAGCTGAAAGTATTTTTGAGTTCTTGTCCGAAAACTGGAAAATCCCTCATTTTGTAATGATTAAAACCCCATAAATCGGAAACGTATGGTCGAAAATTTATTAAAATCAAAAGGGAGCTCATGTCGATAGAAATAAACAATTCGCCAAAGTTTCTTGCAAGTTGGTGAAATTGTTTTTGAGTTCTTGTCCGAAAACTGGAAAATCTCCCCTTTTTTAATGAATAAAACCCCAAAACTCGGAAAAGGTAAGTCCGAAATTTATAAACAAGAGACTCTCAAGAGCCTGAATCACTCACCTGTATTTCAGAGGAGAAGATTTTTAAATGTTAGCAAACTTGATGAACAAATTGTGTAAAATTGACTTTAAAAGGCAATAACTCCTTAAGGGGTCAATTGACAATTTTGGTCATATTAACTTTTTTGTAGATCTTACTTTGCTGAACATTATTGCTGCTTACAGTTTATATATATCTATAATAATATTCAAAATAATAACAAAAAACTGCAAAATTTTGTTAAAACTACCAATTCGGTGGCAGCAACCAAACAATGGGTTGTTCGATTCGTCTGAAAATTTCAGAGCTGATAGATCTTGACCAATTGATTAATTTTACCCCCATATCAGATTTGCTCTAAAAGCTTTAGTTTTTGAGATATTAGCCAAAAACTGCATTTGACCCCTATGTTCTATTTTTAGCCAGGGCGGCCATGTTTGTCGATGGATCAAAACTTCGGATACAATTTATAAACTAGATACCCTAAGGAACATTTATTTAAAGTTTGAAGGTATTTGGCCCAGTATTTGACAGACGACGACGACAGACGACGGATGAAGACAAGTGATGGCATAAGCTCACATGGGGCCCAAACAGTGAGCTAAAAACGAAAGGGAGCTCAGGTCAATATTATATATAAACAATTCTCAAAAGTTTCATGCAAATTGGTGAAATTGTTTTTGAGTTGTTGTCCGAAAAATGGAAAATCCCCCCTTTTTTAAAGAATAAAACCCCAAAACTCGGACACGGTAAATCTGAAATTTATAAAAAACGAAAGGGAGCTCACGTCAATAGATATAAACAATTCACCAAAGTTTCATGCCAAAACTTAACATGAACAACGTAACTGTAACTGAGGTATCTACCCATAAACACCTTGGATTACATATTTCAAACGATGGCACTTGGCATAAACATATTGATGTAATAACCGAAAAGGCATACAAACGACTGAATGTTCTACGAAAATTTAAATTCATCCTTGACAGACGAACACTCGAGACAATATACCTAACATATATAAGACCATTATTAGAATATGCTGATGTTATCTGGGACAACTATACACATCTTTTGATCGATAAAATTGAAAAAGTACAAGCAGAGGCTGCCAGGATCGTAACTGGGGGTACTAGGTTGGTGTCCCTAGAGAGATTATATCTCGAAACGGGTTGGGAAAAGCTTAAAGATCGAAGGGAGGGCCACAGATTAATTTATTTTTACAAGATGAAAAATCATATTACTCCGGAATATTTATCAAACTTAGTTCCAGAATCCCATGCAAGAACAAGAACAGCCCTGTATTCGAATTATTATTTACCGGCAACTGTACGTTCATGGAATCTCCTCCCTGAGAATGCTAAGACCAGTACTTCGGTGGGGGCATTCAGGAATTGTGTCCAGTCTCGGGTGACTAAGCCTCCAAATCATTATTACATTGGTAAGCGATTAGGTCAAATTTATCACTCAAGACTTCGAATGCAATGCAGTTCTCTAAATCAACATCTTTTTGTAAAAAATATAGTGGACTCACCACTTTGTTTATGTGGTGCTATAGAAACAACAGCGCATTACTTGTTGCACTGCCCCCGATTTCACATCATGCGTGAACAGCATTTTTATAACATCAATATCATACATTTCTTGTCAGAAGAAATTTTGCTACACGGTTCAACGGATTTCAGCTACGAACAAAACATTGAAATATTCTTGGCAGTTCAAACATTCATACTCAGTAGCAAAAGATTTGTCATATGATTACAATCATCTTGTTCAACAAGTAATACTTATATCTTAAATAATTGTGTCCGTTCAGAAACATACACTTTATTATTGTATATCTGATGTAAAAAAAAAAAAATTTGTTTTTCTCTTTTGTGTTCACAACCTTATTACATGTATATGTTTTGTTTGTTTTCCATCTATAAATTATAAAGTTTCATGCATATTGGTTAAAGCGTTTTTGAATTAATGTCCGACATGTTGAAGACGGACGGACGGACATACGGACGGACAGACGGTCAACGGTATACCATAATACGTCCCGTAAACGGGCGTATAAAAAACTACTAATTTTCAGTTGGTACTAAACTAGGTTCTACATTTTTTGCTTACCCTCTCAGCATAAAAATGGGTAAAAAATGAGGTTATGTGGAATAATTGTAAACGAAGTGGATGTACGGTTTTGACATTGATTGAGGTTCTCATACGAAATTACCTTTTTAACAACCGTCTTTATGAGATGATGTCCTTTCCCTTCCATCGGCATCGGTAAAAGTGGTAACCCGAACCCGAACTTGTAGTGACATTTCGGTGTAAGACATATCGTGTCATCCTTTCGACCTAAAACACGCTCACCCTTCTTCTTCTTCTTCCTGGTACCGGAAAGATCCTGTTCGTGTTCTTTCTGTTTCGTATGAATTTTTTTTAAAAAAGTTCTTCTTTAAAGAAATTCATTGATTATCGAATGGTAGAATTTTTTTTAATTGCAAACTGTAAGCCACTTTTTAAATTACAGAAACCTTTAACCTTGCTATTGTGGGCCGAGAAAGTATTGGGCCGAACTTTGATTCTTAATAGATGGCGCAACTGTCCAGACCGGATACACTTGGACCGAGACTATTTTCTACACACTATCAAGAATGGTGTCACTGTTGAAGGAAGCCCGACGATTATTCCTAAATATCAATTTGAATTTAAGGAAAATTGATATATATCGCAAGCGCAGATTTTCAGCATGTAGTCGCTACATTGAAGAAGCTTTCGAACTAAGTAAAAACAAAGACATTGGCTTGGTTCCATATCGCATCAAAGGATATGTACTTGGAAATAGATTTTCAAATGCTATTGTAGACATGGTACAGTATTTGGAAGACACTGACGGTTGTGTAAGGGACCCTTCATCAATCAGTGAAAGGGAGATGGAAAACGAAACAGTATTTACCAGTTCTTTAAAATTTAGTTCTTTATATAAAAAAGGATTTGACAGTATTCAACGAAAAAACACAAATAACAGAAATGATCCTCAATTTATAAGTGATGAAATAATGCAGTTTGCAATTCAGTCTTTTATCAGTGGATTTTTAATAAACAAAGGTGAAATATGAAATGTATTTTTCAGTGGGATATATATATATGTACATGTACATGTAGATACTCTTAAGCAAACATGGTAAAACATAGTCCAAATAATTATGACGTCTAGACATTCTAGAAAGGCTATTTTATTTTTTGCTTTGACGCTTTGAAGCGTCAAAGCAAAAAAAATAGCCTTTCTAGACGTCATAATTATTTCAATATTTGTGGACTAGGTAAAACAAACCTGTCCCTGTGTCTGCTACTAGTTCTCTCCTAACAGAGTTGCCATTCCTACCCTTACTTGCAATAGATATATGACTTTCACATTAATGCATGCCATTTTCATTTGATTGTACTCATAGGGACTTGGGGACAGGGCAATTTTTTTTTGGCCCTCCCCCTATTTTCCCAAATCCGTTATTTTTTCTTTTTCTATCAATTTCAATTATTTTCGTGTTTTTCTGTTTTATAAGAACATAAATATACTATTTTGAAAAAAAGGGGGAGGGCAAAAAAATTTGTCCTGACCATAGGGTTGGCAAAGTATATCCCAGGTCCGGGTTTTCCCGAGCTGGGCAATACTCCCAGAAACGGGTAATACTAGCCAATACTGGGAAATATGATTTTTTAAGCTTATTTTTACACAGAATAGTAAAGACTTGTTGTGGTTTCATAGTATCATAGCTAAATATATATACATTTTATACAGTCAGGGGACTTACTTAAATGAGTGATTTTCTAAATCACTGATTCAAGTAACATTACAAATGTATGTCCACAAAGGTTGGAAGTAAGAGTTGTCTTTCTTTGATAATCGCCTATTTAAGTAGTACAAATAATCACTAGACTAAGTGATTTAAATTTAATGTAGCTTTAAATATACAATACTAATGATCCAGGGACTAATTATGTTGCTAAAATTATCAGAACCAACATCTGTGTTGATAGGATGACCAGTCATGTCAGGTGATGACCTTGTTCTAAATTTGAGATAATGACATAAAAATCACTTGTTTAAGTACAAATGTATCATACCTCAAATTCCTTCCAAAAAATCACTGCTTTAAGTATCATTATTTTAATAACCCCAACTAATTTTAGCACCCCCGAACAGTGAAATTTTGATGGCCAACAGTAGAATTTTATTACATAATCTGTAAGATGAAACCTTAAATTTTACAGGAAAAATACTCCCACTGCTGGGAAAAATCTGTTAAGAAAGTATCAGTCCATTATGTAAGGCCTTTATTATAGCATTTTTTCAACTAAAACAGAATTTACAGCTAAGCGATTGCATTAAAGGCATAAACCTTGCTACTTAAAAGAAACAAAAGGTTCATTTTTTTCAATTTTACTAATGAAAAGATATTATCTAAACCGATGTGTTTAAAATTTTGGTAAAACTACAAAATCACAATTTGTGACAAAACTTTGAATTCGCTACTTAAATAAGTGATTCATTTGTGATTTAAAAATTTCTTCTTTTTCTCCAATAATTCTATGTAGATATAATAATAATGCACAGTGCATTGCGGGGGACATAGAAATACCGGGTTTGAACTTTCTGTTTTTCCGTCTGTCCATCCACTCAGTCTTGTTCATGTTGTTAGTGCTCTCACATGTACAATCCTTGCCAGATTATTATGAAACTTATATCAAAAATCAGTGCTAGGTTTAAACATGTCCCTTTGAAAATTTTTTTGCATACTACATTGTTTGAACAGGGCCCCAGATTCCTTCAACTGGATGAAAAAGTTGTGTAATTTCAGAATTTATCTGGATTGAAATGAATAGCTATAAACATGATAAAGAGTATTCTGGTATTGTCTGTCTGTTTTAAATGTACTTAAGATACTTGATTTTCCATTCAGCATCTACACTTTTTTTTTTTATATTGTTATAATTTTTGTCGAGCCTGCGACTTTTGTCGCAGAAAGCTCGACATAGGGATGGTGATCCGGCAGCGGCTACGATGGCTGTGGCGGCGGCTGCGTAAGCTAACTTCTTAAAAGCTTAATATTTTAGAAGGTGGAAGACCTGGATGCTTCATACTTTGTATATAGATGCCTTATGTTACGAAGTTTACATCTGTCACATGTCCATTGTCCTTGACCTCATTTTCATGGTTCAGTGACTACTTGAAAAAAAAGTCAACATTTTTTGTAATGTTAATTTCTCTCTTATTATGAGTAATAGGATAACTATATTTGGTATGTGCGTACCTTGCAAGGTCCTCATGCCCGTCAGACAGTTTTCACTTTACCTCGACCTCGTTTCATGGATCAGTGAATTGAACAAGGTTAAGTTTTGGTGGTCAAGTCCATATCTCAGATACTAGAAGCAATAGGTCTAGCATATTCGGTGTATGGAAGGACTGTAAGGTGTACATGTCCAACTGGCAGGTGTCATCTGACCTTGACCTCATTTTCATGGTTCAGTGGTTATAGTTAATTTTTTGTGTTTTGGTCTGTTTTTCTTATACTGTATGCAATAGGTCTACTATATTTGGTGTATGGAATGATTGTAAGGTGTACATTAGCTGGCAGGTGTCTTCTGACCTTGACCTCATTTTCATGGTTCAGTGGTCAAAGTTAAGTTTTTGAGTTTTGGTCTTTTTTTTCTAATACTATATGCAATAGGTCATCTATATTTGGTATTTGGAAATATTTTATGATGTACATGTCAGTCTTGCAGGTTTTATTTGACCTTGACCTCATTTTCACAGTTCATTGCTCAGTATTAAGTTTTTGTGTTTTGGTCTGTTTTTCTAATACTATAAGCAATAGGTCAACTATATTTGTTGTATGGAAGGATTGCAAGCTGTACATGTCTGCCTGGCATGGTTCATCTGACCTTGACCTCATTTTCATGGTTCATTGGTCAATGTTTAGTTTTCTTGATTAAGTCTGTATCTTAAAAACTATAAACAATAGGTCAACTATATTTAGTGTATTGAATGATTGAAAGGTGTACATGTATTTTTTGTTTGGTTTATATGACCTTGACCTCATTTTCTTGGATCATGTTAAGTGTATGTGATAGTTGTAGTAAAGCTTTAAATTCAGGACTATCAACATAATATCAATGATTAGTAAAGAAGGCAAGACATTTCAGCGTGTGCACTCTTGTTTCATTCCATTAGAAACCCTAGCCTTTCCCTGTACATGTACATTTGACATCAGGAAATTATTGAATTACAAGTTACACCAAAACTTATAAAGGTGATAAATAATTTACTTTCAACTGGTCAATTGTATTTTAATTCTATAAAGAGTTTATTGTTTTATATCAGGTCTTGAAACAAATATTGATCAATCAAAATTTAGATAATTCTAAGGTCATGAAGGTTGAGTTACCCGAGCAAAATTGACCATAGCACATACATGACATAATCATGATGATAAATGTTTAAAAAGCTTTAAAGGTGAAAATCATTTGAATTTCAAAATTTAAAGTCAGCATTTAAATATACATGTATATATATATTTACATTGATTTGATTGCAGAATATCATGAACAATGTCTTCGCTCTGTCCTTGAGACCAGTGATGAGAGAAAAATAATCGTTCTTTTGGCAAACCATTTACTTTCAAGACTGATTGCTACCTCTCCAGGAAACACATACTTCATTACAGACGATCATTGGAAGCAATATGAATTATGTCCTTGTGATTACCAGTGTGGTGACAAGATTTGGTATGGTAACTCAGGAATAGGTAAGTGATCGGGTTAGACAGTCCGGGGAACTACATGTACTTGGTGACAAGATTTGGTATGGTTACTCAGGAATAGCTAAGTGATCAGGTTAGACAGTCCGGGGAACTACATGCACTTGGTGACAAGATTTGGAATGGTAACTCAGGAATAGGTAAGTGATCGGGTTAGACAGTCAGGGGAAATACATGTACTTGGTCACAAGATTTGGTATGGTAACTCAGGAATAGGTAAGTGATCAGGTTAGACAGGCCGGGGAACTACATGTACTTGGTGACTAGATTTGGTATGGTAACTCAGGAATAGGTAAGTGATCAGGTTAGACAGTCCGGGGAACTACATGTACTTGGTGACAAGATTTGGTATGGTAACTCAGGAATAGGTAAGTGATCAGGTTAGACAGTCCGGGGAACTACATGTACTTGGTGACAAGATTTGGTATGGTAACTCAGGAATAGCTAAGTGATCAGGTTAGACAGTCCGGGGAACTACATGCACTTGGTGACAAGATTTGGTATGGTAACTCAGGAATAGGTAAGTGATCGGGTTAGACAGTCAGGGGAAAAACATGAACTTGGTCACAAGATTTGGTATGGTAACTCAGGAATAGGTAAGTGATCAGGTTAGACAGGCAGGGGAACTACATGTACTTGGTGACAAGATTTGGTATGGTAACTCAGGAATACGTAAGTGATCAGGTTAGACAGTCTGGGGAACTACATGTACTTGGTGACAAGATTTGGTATGGTAACTCAGGAATAGGTAAGTGATCGGGTTAGACAGTCAGGGGAAAAACATGAACTTGGTCACAAGATTTGGTATGGTAACTCAGGAATAGCTAAGTGATCAGGTTAGACAGGCAGGGGAACTACATGAACTTGGTGACAAGATTTGGTATGGTAACTCAGGAATAGGTAAGTGATCAGGTGAGACAGTCCGGGGAACTACATGTACTTGGTGACAAGATTTGGTATGGTAACTCAGGAATAGGTAAGTGATCGGGTTAGACAGTCAGGGGAACTACATGTACTTAAACAAGTGATTTTAAATCACTTTTTTAAGAAACATTTTTTCATTCCCAGATACAGTACATAGATTGGCAATCATATAAAACACTGTTGAAAATGATTAATAAATATCAAGGATTATTAAAATAAAACACCCAATGTGCTTCTGTTGTACACTGTTTTTGTCATTTTTGCATTTTATACAGTATGACAGTTATTGGGGCGAATTTAGGCATTAAAAAAAACAACTTAGTACATCAGATTTTTCCAGACAGAAACCAGTATTTTTCCTGAGAAACTTTTGCAATGCAAAAGTAATGTTTGTGGTAAAAAGTTAAGTGCTCTTGGGTGGTGAAAATGCCAGGGGTCAGCTGAAAAAATGCTACTTAAAAAGGTGATTTCTTAGCAGAAAATTACCATCCACTCAGATCAGACAAGTGATTTTTATCTAAAGATACAGATAACACTAATCATTTATCATGTTTTATAATATAAGAGTTAATTTGCTCAGCAGATATGATTATCTCTGTTATATTCTTTCAAACAGAACAGCTATATTAGTACAATAATTGTTATACTCATTTTAGTGATATCAGACTTAAAATAAAGGTAGACAACTCCATATTGTAATAAATGTTGACAAAAGTTTACTTAATCATGTTAATCAAGAGATTCCAAAATCACTTATTAAAATAAAACCCCTGACTGTTAGATGCATCTTGTGTTTTATAAATAAATAAACATGATAAAAGTGTAGGGATGCTAGCTAATTAATATGAATTTCAATACTTGAATTTAATTATACATGAAACCTATAATGGTTTACTTTTATAAATTTTGACTTGGATGGAGAGTTGTCTCATTGGCACTCATACCTCATCTTCTTATATCTATGAAAGGATGATATGAATTGTCAAAAATCACTTATATTTGACTCCTCTGATAAAACATGTAAAATGAACACAAAAAGGCTGCCAAAAAAAAAAGAAAAGAAAGAGACACATGGTTCATATACCTTTGAGTATGAGATAGTTTGACATGATCCAGGCCCCGGCACCATAAAACTTTTATTTTCTGAGTAAAAAAATATTCTCAGAATGAATTATATTACTCAGCTAAGAATAAGAACTTTTTTCTTTGCCATAAAAAAAATATTCTCAACTTTGAGAATATTCTTAGCTGAGAATTTTTTTTCTCAGTGATGTAAGCGGTAAAATAGATGATTGAAAACTAAAAAGTGTACCTAACTTCACAAAAACGCAGGTTTTATCTCTTTAGCAACACTGTAAAACATAAAAAAAAAATCTACGATAGATAAAATGACAATTAGCATTTTGTAAGCATCGGTAAATGCACAGAAAGTCACAGGATATAAAGTCACAAATAATATGTGGACAATTGTTTGAAATTATAAGAGAAAGATCTTGAAATATTTGAGTTATCAACCTGTAGATTGTTATAAATATATATTACTTTTTATATTTCTCATACGACTTCTGTCTTTTAAAGATACGTGTATTAATGATTATGTTTTATAAATGGCGAAATCTTCGAAATGTAGTCTCCTTGGAATGTAACCTTCGTTGACGTTTACGTGAAAGTGCTTTCTTTCACGTCCGCACTTCTATCGAGTATGGTATGCCAAATAAACATATTACGGATCAATGACATATTATGTATTCAGACGACATAAGAAGACACCATGTGACAATTTTAAGCCAATTGCTTATTAAAGTGAAACAGAACTGCTTTTTTCTTAGATCTACAAATAAACAAAAGAAGAAAAAAAACATAACATAACAAAACAAAAAACCAACAAACCGGATATTTTTATATCAATATGAATGCCAGTAAATAATTTTAATCTGTTTTTAATATTTAAGAATAGATATGTAACTTTTGAAATAAATATAAATTTGATACAGAATTGAATACGATTTAACAATTATGCAAGTAGTCATAAAAATTGCTCCTCATAATGAGTTTAATATATTGCACAGGAAGAGAAAATGAAAGTACGACGTCGTGTGAGAAGGCATGGCATATACCGGTATTGTCCATTACATTTATTAACAACACCTTGTACAAGTAAGAAATGTTTATTCTGTAAATGATTCTTGTTTTCTAATCGTGCATATGGAAATTTCCTTCTGTATCATGATTTTGACATGATAGATTTTTTTCCGCTGTATCAAAGACATATGTACGACGACACTACCCAGTAATACAACACATCCCCCCTTTCCCCTCCCCCGAATCTGTCACTGTACTGCACAAATGATACATTTATCAATTTTGACTAATATCTGTTTAAAACCAAAATTATTTTACTTTCTTTGTAATAATTTGGATATCTGAGATAATAATCAGTAGATAGGGTGACATTACATGTATTTGGTTTGTAGATATGAGGTACCAGTACTGCAATCTAATTAAGGTAGCTGTAGTAATTTATTAAAAAGTAGTTTTTGAAGAGAGATCTGAAAACTAATAGAAAAAAATTCGACCTCCTGAACTAGATTTTATCCTTGATAGACCAACTGTCCAACAAAATATAAAATAGTGCCTATTTATCAACTATTTTAGAGAATATTAAAATATATTTAACATTTATTGGTAGAGAACAAAAAATGCTATATCCCCCAAAAAATTCAAAGACAATGTTATCCGTCCTCGAGTATCAGTCAAATAGCCCTTACCAAACAATTGAAGTTTTAAATTGCAATGAATTATGGATCTTACACATCTGAAACCGAAGACAGAGTAAGCATGCTGGCTAAAGAGACTTTTTGATTCTGCAATTCTATTTAATTCCCGTTAGTTGTTCATTTATAAATTTTGAAAATATAAAAAAAAACTGAGATTTCAACTCCATCGGGCAAAGTTGACCTTCGACTCATTTAATTGGCTATTATTAGCTCACCTGACCTGAAAGGTCAAGTGAGCTTTTCTCATCACTTTGCGTCCGTCGTCCGTCGTCCGTCGTCCGTCGTCCGTCGTCCGTAAACTTTTACAAAAATCTTCTTCTCTGAAACTACTGGGTCAAATTTAACCAAACTTGGTCACAATCATCATTGGGGTATCTAGTTTAAAAAATGTGTCCAGTGATCCGGTCAACCAACCAAGATGGCCGCAATGGCTAAAAATAGAACATAAGGGTAAAATGTAGATTTTGGCTTATATCTCTGAAACCAAAGCATTTAGAGCAAATCTGACATGGGGGTAAAATTGTTTATCAGGTCAAGATCTATCTGCCCTGAAATTTTCAGATGAATCTGACAACCTGTTGTTGGGTTGCTGCCCCTGAATTGGTAATTTTAATGAAATTTTGTCGTTTTTGGTTATTATCTTGAATATTATTATAGATAGAGATAAACTGTAAACAGCAATAATGTTCAGCAAAGTATGATCTACAATTAAGTCAACTTGACCAAAATGGTCAGTTGACCCCTTAAGGAGTTATTGCCCTTTATAGTCAATTTTTAACCATTTTTCGTAAATTTTTGTAATCTTTTACAAAAATCTTCTCCTCTGAAACTACTAAGACAAATTTAACCAAACTTTTACACAATCATCATTAGGGTATATAGTTTAAAAAATGTGTCCGATGACCCCGCCAGCGAACCAAGATGGCCGACATGGCTAAAAATAGAACATAGGGGTAAAATGTAGATTTTGGCTTATATCTCTGAAACCAAAGCATTTAGAGTAAATCTGACACAGGGTAAAACTGATTATCAGGTCAAGATCTATCTGCCCTGAAATTTTCAGACCAATCAGGCAACACGTTGTTGGGTTGCTGCCCCTGAATTGGTAATTTTAAGGAAATTTTGCCGTTTTTGGTTATTATCTTGAATATTATTATAGATAGAGATAAACTGTAAACAGCAATAATGTACAGCAAAGTAAGATCTACAAATAAGTCAACATGACCAAAGTAGTCAATTGACCCCTTAAGGAGTTATTGCCCTTTATAGTCAATTTTTTATCCATTT